CGGCGGGGGCGTCATCCAGCCCAGGCTGTACCAGATCTCCCCGAAACCGCAGTACGGGGCGGCCCAGCCGGCGCCACAGCAGAACCCGCAGCAGCAGAACCAGCAGAATCAGCCGCCGCCGCAGTCACAGCAGCAACAGCAGCAGCAGCAGCAGCAGCAGCTGGGGACGGCCGCCCACTCCTTGCAGAACGACGCTGGGAAAGCTCTGGGGCTGCAGCAGGGGCAGGTCCCTGTTTCGGCGCCCCAGAACGTGGCCTTCATGACGGGCAAGCCCGGCGCGAACGTCGTCCTGAGCGCGGCGCAGCAGGGGGCGCAGTTCTCGCCGGCCTTCATCAAGCAGCAGGGGCCGCACGCCGCGGGGAAGCCGGTCAGCCTGCACCTGCTCAACCAGGGCGGGAGCATCGTCATCCCCTCGCAGACCGTCCTGCAGGGGCAGAACCACCAGTTCCTGCTGCCGGGCCAGCTGTCCCAGCTCCAGGCGGGGGGCCAGATCCTGACCCAGCACCCCGGGGGCCACATCATCACCAGCCAGGGCCCCGGGGGGCAGCTGATCGCCAACCAGATCCTCGCCACCAACCAGAACCTCAACCTGGGGCCCGTGTTGACTTCTCAGGGGCCCTCTGGCACCGCCCACATCCTCTCCGGGCCCATCCAGCTCCAGCCCGGTCAAATGGGACACCACACCCTCTTCCAGATGCCGGTTTCGCTGGCCCAGCCCCAGGCGCAGGCCCACCACCCCGCGGGACACGCGCAGACGGTCATCCAGGGCATGATCCCCAACTCTCTGACCATGCTGAGCCAGGTGGACAGCGTGGGCGCCGCCATCAGCCTGCAGCCCACCCCACAGCAGCAGGCGGGCGGTATCCCCAGCAACAGCGCCGGAGGGGTGGCAGTGGCAGCCCAGTGCCAGCAGGGGGAGACTGTTGCCGTGCTGGGGGGCGGCGCCGAGCAGGCCGCCCACCCCTCTGTCCCTCCCCCTCCCTCCATCCTCACGGTCCAGACCGCCCCCTCCATCCCCGTCTCAATCTCGTCCTCCTCTTCGTCCTCCTCTCCATCCCCCGCCACTGCCTCCTCTTCCATCTCTTCCTCCGCCCCCCCCTCCTCTGCCCTGCCGCCCTCTGCCCCCCAGCACAGTCCCGGGAAGCTGATTCTCGCCCCCCAGGGTCCCAGCATGATCCTCAGCCACGAGCCTCTTCACATGTTCCTGCAGCAGGTCAGTGCGTCCGACGTGTGCGTGTGCGTCCGACGTGTGCGTGTGCGTCCGACGTGTGCGTGTGCGTGTGCATGTGCGTGTGCGTGTGCGTGTGCGTGTGCGTCCGACGTGTGCGTTCGACGTGTGCGTGTGCGTGTGCGTGTGCGTGTGCGCGCCTGCGCGGGAGCTGCTGTTCCAGCTGAAACCTCAAGGCGATTGTGCGCCGGCTCAGAATCGGCCAGAGGGAGGCGCCCATGCGCTGGGAAACAGCAGAAGGGCTGGGAGGGCGTTGAGCTGCTCGAGCAGTGGGTTCCCAGTTCAAACCCCCCCCCCCCACACACAGCTGTGCCACGGTGAGCCTCGCCCCCAGCCAGACAGGCTGGCGAAGGAAGCGGGCGCGCCACAGAGGGAGCGATGGCTCACGCTTGGCTTGCGGTTTATTCCCAGGTGTTCGAGCAGCAGGCTGGCGGCTTAGGAAGATGCACAAAAGGCTAATAGTGTGCAAATCTAGTGCCCCTCTGAGCCCCGGGCAGGGAAGGTCGCTCCCACACGCCGACTCTGGGGTCACAAGAGCTCAGGTTGCCCAGCCTGGCACAGCGCTGTAGAAAATTCATTGCCCGCTGTGAGCTGGCACTGAGAGCTCAGTGCCTGGAATGCACTGTGGTCTGCTCTCCAGGGTCTCGCAGAGAGTTTGAGCTGGGACAGGGCCACTCCTCCCTCCCAGAGCAAGGTGGCAGTGCCTGGAAACTTGTACCCGGGCGGATTAGTGCAGAGTGGTCCAATGACGCGTTGATTATCAAAAGTGGCAAAGCCCTAGAAAAACTGGTGAGTGAATAGGGCCCTTCTGTATTAAAACGGAGTAGCTCTTTGCCCTCAGTCATGGCTTGAGTTCTGTGTGCCAGCCACTGCCACTTCATCTTGGGAGGAAGTGGTGATGTGTGCAAGTATGTTTTTTTTGAGAGATGTTTTAACTTTCCTCTCTGTTGAAATAAACCCTGATCTTAGTTTTGTGGATATTTTGCCCTCCACCACCACTGGACTAAAACCCTGCCCCCTCCGACCCCCTCCCTCCTTAATCCATCCCTCCCCCATCAGGACCAACAGCACCAATCAGAGAGCACTCAGCCCCCTTCTGTGTGTGTCCCCGCCTCTGTCATCATCAGCAGCACCGAAGGTCCGGCCCCGTCTGGCCGTGACAGCCTGGGACAGAGCTCCGCCCCCTCTCTTGGCCCCGCCCACAAGGCGGCAGTGGTGTATCAGGTAGACAAGACCCTTCCCCTAGCTCCTCCCACCTGCTGCTTCACTTAAAACCTGCCCCTGCTCCAAGCAGAGTAAAGCTGTACTGTACCCACTCTCTCCCTCCCTCTGTTCCTGCGCTGATAGTGCCGTCACTAAAACAGCATCACTGTGTACCTTGCTGTCCTTCTCTGTTACAAGCCACTCTGTGCTGTTCTGGTCTCTCCTCCACACCCACCTTCCTTTTTCTTCTCTGGTACTCCTTGCCTCTCTCTACTCCTGTCTTTCCTGTGGTTTACCTGCGTGCTGCGTACACGTCTTGCCTGCCTGCCTGTGTTATTCCTGGGTGTCCGTGCTCATGAGCCCAGCACTGCAGGCGGTCTGTCTGGCTCAGGTGTCCCAGCAGGGCTTTGGGATTTGTGGCCTGTGACTGCGCTGAGGTGCAGATGTAAACTGAGGAGCTTTTCTGATTCTAAGCAGGTCAGCCTGTGCTCACTTTCTGCCCTCGAGTGCCCTGTCACGGTGCCCGGGCTTTGCCTGGCCGCAGTGGTAGCGAGCTCGCGCCGTGCTGAGCCGGGACACGGCAGATGCTGGTGTAGGGCCTGATGCTGGTGTAGGGACGCCAGCGAGGAAGGCTGACGCTTTGGACATTTTGGGAGCATGGGCGGGCTGTTTCTTGAGGGGTGCACGCTGCTTTTCGAGGGGGCTGTGTGCGTTTCCAGGGTGCTTGTGAAGTTAGCGGTCGGGGACACGATGGCACTGTGAAGCGAAGGAAAGTGGGGCTCAAACAGAGAGGGCACCACGGGGAGCACCTTTCCTTGCAGGCCCCTGTGGGCGCCGTCGCTGTCCGCGGTAGCAGGCAACACCCCGGGACCTGCAGCAGTGTTAATAAGCTCTGTGGGATCTCAACAGGCGGCTAGTCTAGAATTTTGGCTGTTTCCGAGAGTCACTGCGATTCGAGGGAGAGATTGACTAGAAGGGGCAGCAAGGATGTCCGGGTTCGAGAGCAGGGGCAGGTGGGCAGGCGGGCAGGCGGGCAGGGTGTTGTGTCTGGTGTGTGAGAGCACAAAAGACAGAGTGGCGCAGAGCTCTTGAGATAGTGGCAAGGCTCTGTACCTGCCAGCGTCAATCAGCACACGGAGCTCGTCTCCAGTCCTGCACTCCTCCCCTGTTTCCCGCCTCCACCACTGGCTAGCAGCCTGTTTCCTTCTCCCATCCCATCACGCTGCCCCAGTTTGTCTCTTCCTCCGCCACTAGCACCCCTCTCCCCGCAGTGCCCCCCCCCATCTCCTTGTCCCGTTCGCTGCTGGTTCTGATCCCTCTGTCCTTCGCTGTGCCCCTCCTTCCCCACACACGCCCCCTTAGCGTCTCCCAGGCCGAGCCCCCTCCCTCCTTCCCCGACAGCGCTCCTCGGTGTTGAGCTGTACCCCACAGCTCGCCGAAGAAGTATGGTAGGGCATCTATTCTGTTCCTTAATACAGTCACAGCGCACAGGGTTGAAGCTGGTCAATAATGAAGCTTCCTTTTGCTCGATGCAAAATATGAAATGGAGTTTTAAATGCATGACACTGTAAATAACTTTGCACTTCTGCTTGTGCACAGTATGTTGCACATTTCTGCATATGGCATGGTAAGAGGTAACGCACTACAGTATAAAAATTATGGTGAAAAGCTGCTTTTGCACAGCAGCATACAGTAGTTTCTGCAGTTTGTCTTTTGCGCCAAATGCTGCTTTATGGCTCGTTTGTGATTAGAGGGGCTAAGGGTTTGCAAATCGGTGGGCGAAGGATCGGCCCAGAGCGAGGGCCGGCCGTGCCTGGTCGGACCTACAGGGTCTCGCGTGGCGGGGGCCAGCTCTCTGCTGACGCCACTCCCTGCAGCGCCGATCTCGTGCCTTCCAGTTGCGTGTGAGAGCTCCACCTCCGGGGCTGGGCGTCCTGTTTACAGGGAGGCCACAGGATCAGGACGCTGCACATTGGTGGAGGTGGTGGGATTCCCCATTACCTGGAAAGCGCTTTAAGTGGCGTGCCCAGGAAAGCGCTATATAAGTGTAGATCGGCTATGCCAACGCTTTCGGTGGTCCGTCGCCTTCTCATTGCTTCGTCGCAGTTGTCGTCCTGTTTGCCGCAGCCTTGCTAAGGGTGGGCACACTGTGGGGGGGGAGGATCGTCTCGGTGTCCTTGCTGATGGGGTCCGCGGAGTTTTTGCGCTTGACCCTTTTCCCCGGGAGGTCCGTCTCCTGCTCCGCACGCGGCGTGTGGTCCGGTTTCCGATCCGACGAGGGTCCGAGCTCAGCCCGCCGGGTTGGAGATGGAGATGCTGAAAAAATAGTTTGCGCGCGCGTGTGTGAGAGTCCAGGTTCGTGCTGCTGCGTGCACTCAGGCAAGAGTGTGTGCGTCTCGGCTCATCTTGTGCTGAAATGAAAACAAAAATTGTTCGCATTTTAATGACTAATGACCGAGGACAGGCAATGGGCTGATATGCTTCGGGAGCCGTCGCCGAATTGTAAGCCCGTTTTCAGCGGCAGTTCCCGAGAGCAGGCGGTCAGGATCCCCGTCCTCGGCCTGTCCGTGAAGCCCGTGGTGCGACCTGACCTTTTAGCAGCCGAAAAGCAGAAACACAGAGGCACGCTTGTTGTGGGAAAGAGAACCGATTATCGCAGCAAAGTGTGATACAGTGCGGCGCTCCAGGTGTCAAGCATGGCCTGATGCAGATGCTCGCTGCATGCAAGGATGACCGTGGCTTAATAAAGGGCAGGGTTTTGCGAGCGAGGATTGCGATCGGCGGCCATTTGTCGCTGTGCGCTGTGCTTGCGTTTCCGCCTTGTCTCATATTTCTCCCCCCCTTCTGCCTTTCCCGAACAGATCCCCTCGACGGGACACCAGCAGCAGCCGAAAATCCTGGGGTCGTCCCCCTCACACTCCCTGCAGCCTCACGGCACCCCCACCTCTCTGTCGGACAGCCCCCAGCCACCCCTGCAGCCTTCCCCCCTTGTCTTGGGGCAGCAGATGCAGTCGCCCCACCAGTCTCGCCCCCCGTCGCAGCCCCAGCCCCAGTCGCGCCCCCCCTCGCGCTCCTGCACCCCGTCCTCCCTGCCCCCGCTCTTCATCATCCACAACCAGATCGGGGGGTCCCCTCAGCACACACCCCAGCAACACCCCGTGCAGCTACCACAGCAACAGTCCCAAACGCAGCCTCGGCCCCCCTCCTTCCAGCAGGACGTGGCCACGCTCGCCACTTCGTCTTCCTCCTCCTCCTCCATCGCCCCCTCCTCCTCCCCCAAGCCGCCCGCACCCCCCGCCCCCACGCTGCAGTTCCAGTTCACAGCGCCACCCCCGGGCTCAACAGGGAAACAGCAGCTTGGCCTGCAGAGCCTGACGGTGGAGCAGCAGCACTCGCTCCAGCTGGTGGGGGCTCAGCTGCAGACGCTGTCGGCCATCGCACAGCCCTCCACCCACCAGAAACAGCTGCTGGACAAACTGCAACAGGTACAGCAGTCTGTGTCTGTGTCTGTGTCTGTGTCTGTGTCTGTGTCTGTGTCTGTGTCTGTGTCTGTGTCTGTGTCTGTGTCTGTGTCTGTGTCTGTGTCTG